GTATCATATCTCCAACCTCACAGGCTATACCTTCAGGGAGAGAGAAATAGCATATTTCCAGCCGTATAGACTGTTTCTTCAGAGAAAGGGAAGTATCATATCTCCAACCTCACAGGCTATACCTTCAGGGAGAGAGAAATAGCATATTTCCAGCCGTATAGACTGTTTCTTCAGAGAAAGGGAAGTATCATATCTCCAACCTCACAGGCTATACCTTCAGGGAGAGAGAAATAGCATATTTCCAGCCGTATAGACTGTTTCTTCAGAGAAAGGGAAGTATCATATCTCCAGCCTCACAGGCTATACGTTAAGGTTCAGGTAAATATCATATCTTCAGCCTTATACGGCTTTTCTTCAGAGACAGATAAATACAATGTATCCATATCACCGGCCTCACAGGTAGATATAAAGGTCACACCTCAACCTTACCGGTAAGTGTCAGGATGCATTCCCAGTCTCACCTGTAAGGGCCAGGTTCACGTGTTAGGCGACACAGTATAGGGTCAGGATCACATCTTAAGGCTCAGACCACCTTAAAGGTAAAAAAAAGTTCACACATGACTCATCACAAGTAACATGTTTCTGTTCCTGTTGTTAATCATTTTAAATCGACAGTTACACTGTGTTTCTAATGGTATTAAGAATTCAATATAAGCACTAGGTAATACCGGCCCACATTTGTTATCAGTGTAAGTCTTGGGTAAAACAATTCATTATAGTCCTGGTAAATAATCATCCCTACTGGTAATCGGTATAAATCTTTTGTAATGCTGTTCCCAACTGATAATCAATTTCCTACGTAAACATACACCGATACCAAAAAACAAACCAGAAAACCCAATATATTGGTAATCTGGTAATCTAAAACTGCATATTTTAGTATTTCATACTCTTAACTAATTCATAATTTAGTATTGTGTTGTTTTAGAGGTTACTACCCATCACCATCATCCAAGTTCATGACGGACACCGGAGAAGCAACCCTGATACGGTACAACACTGGCACTTGTAGTCTACTGCATAACTGTCAGTCATGTACACTCCAGGCCAGGTGTAAGAGTGAGTACATCAACACACTTAGTCCCCCAACTGTCAGGCCTATACACTCCGGGCTGGCGTGAGAGTGAGTACATCAACACACTTAGTACCCCTACTGTCAGTCATGTACACTCCGGGCCAGGTGTAAGAGTGTGTACATCAACACACTTAGTCCCCCTACTATCAGTCATGTACACTCCAGGCCATGTGTAAGAGTGAGTACATCAACACACTTAATCCCCCTACTGTCAGCCATATACACTCCGGGCCAGGTGTAAGAGTGAGTACATCAACGCACTTAGTCCCCCTACTGTCAGTCTTGTACACTCCAGGCCAGGTGTAAGAGTGAGTACATCAACACATTTAGTCCCCCTACTGTCAGCCATATACACTCCGGGCCAGGTGTAAGAGTGAGTACATCAACACACTTAGTCCCCCTACTATCAGTCTTGTACACTCCTGGCCAGGGGTAAGAGTGAGTACATCAACACATTTAGTCTCCCTACTGTCAGCCATATACACTCCAGGCTGGTGTAAGAGTGAGTACATCAACACAATTAGCAACACACTTAGTCCCCCTACTGTCACCCATATACACTCCAGGCCAGGTGTAAGAGGGAGTACATCAGCACATTTAGTCCCCCTACTGTCAGCCATGTACACTCCAGGCCAGGTGTAAGAGGGAGTACATCAGCAAACTTAGTCCCCCTACCGTCAGTCATGTACACTCCGGGCTGGAGTAAGAGTGAGTACATCAGCAAACTTAGTCCCCCTACTGTCAGCCATGTACACTCCAGGCCAGGTGTAAAGGTGTTTACATCAACACACTTAGTCCCTCCAGGCCAGGTGTAAGAGTGAGTACATCAGCAAACTTAGTCCCCCTACTGTCAGTCATGTACACTCCGGGCTGGTGTAAGAGTGAGTACATCAGCAAACTTAGTCCCCTTACTGTCAGTCATGTACACTCCAGACCAGGTGTAAGAGTGAGTACATCAAAATACTTAGTCCCCCTGCTGTCAGTCCTATACACTCCGGGCCAGGTGTAAGAGTGACTACATCAACACACTAAATCCACCTACTATTAGTCCTTTACACTCCAGGCCAGGTGTAAGAATGAGTACATCAACACACTTAGTCCCCCTACTGTCAGTCCTATACACTCCAGGCCAGGTGTAAGAGTGAACGTACATCAACACTCTAAGTTCCCCCACTATCAGCCCTATACACTCCAGGCTGGTGTAAGAGTGAGTACATCAACTCACTAAGTTCCCCTACTATCCGACCTGTACACATCAGGCCAGGTGTAAGAATGAGTACATAACACACTTAGTCCCCCTACTATCAGACCTGTACATTCCGGAATAGGTGTAATAGTAAGTTCATCAACACAATTAGTCCCCCCTACTATCGGTCTTGTACACGCCAGGAGTGGTGTAAGAGTGAGTACATTAACACACTTAGTCCCCCTACTATAATTCCTGTACACTCCAGGCTGGTGTAAGAGTGTGTACATCAACACGCTTAGTCCCCCCTACTATCGGTCTTGTACACGCCAGGACTGGTGTAAGAGTGAGTACATCAACACACTTATTCCCCCTACTATCAGTCCTGTACACGCCAGGCTGGTGTAAGTGTGTGTACATCAACACACTTAGACCCCTACTATCAGTCATTTACACTCCAGGCCAGGTGGAAGAGTGAGTACATCAACATACTTAGTCCCCCTACTATCAGTCATGTACACTCCAGGCCAGGTGTAAAGGTGAGTACATCAACATATTTAGTCCCCCTACTAGCAGTCCTGTACACGCCAGGCTGGTGTAAGAGTGTATACATCAACACATTTAGTCCCCTTACTATCAGTCTTTTACAATCTAGGCCAGGTGTAAGAGTGAGTACATCAACACACTTAGTCCCCCTACTATCAGTCTTGTACACTCCGGGCCAGGTGTAAGAGTGAGTACATAGTCCTATACACTCCGGGCCAGGTGTAAGAGTGAACGTACATCAACACTCTAAGTTCCCCCACTATCAGCCCTATACACTCCAGGCCAGGTGTAAGAGAGAACGTACATCAACACTCTAAGTTCCCCCACTATCAGCCCTATACACTCCGGGCCAGGTGTAAGAGTGAGTACATAGTCCTATACACTCCGGGCCAGGTGTAAGAGTGAACGTACATCAACACTCTAGGTTCCCCCACTAGCAGCCCTATACACTCCAGGCTGGTGTAAGAGTGAGAACATCAACTCATTAAGTTCCCCTACTATCCGACCTGTACACACCAGGCCAGGTGTAAGAATGAGGACAGAAACACACTTAGTCCCCCTACTATCAGGCCTGTACATTCCGGAATAGGGGTAATAGTAAGTACATCAACACAATTAGTCCCCCCTACAATGTACTATCAGTCTTGTACACTCCGGGCCAGGTGTAAGAGTGAGTACATTAACACACTTAGTCCCCCTACTATAAGTCCTGTACACTCCAGGCCAGGTGTAAGAGTGAGTACATCAACACGATTAGTCCCCCCTACTATCAGTCTTGTACACACCAGGACTGGTGTAAGAGTGAGTACATCAACACAATTAGCCCCCCCCCTACTATCAGTGTTGTACACTCCAGGCCAGGTGTAAGAGTGAGTACATCAACACACTCAGCCCCCTACTATCCGACCTGTACACTCCAGGCCAGGTGTAAAGGTGTGTACATCAACACACTTAGACCTCTACTATCAGTCATGTACACTCCAGGCCAGGTGGAAGAGTGAGTACATCAACATACTTAGTCCCCCTACTATCAGTCACGTACACTCCAGGCCAGGTGTAAAGGTGAGTACATCAACATATTTAGTCAACCTACTAGCAGTCCTGTACACGCCAGGCTGGTGTAAGAGTGAGTACATCAACACACTCAGCCCCCTACTATCCGACCTGTACACTCCAGGCCAGGTGTAAAGGTGAGTACATCACTATACTTAGTCCCCCTACTATCAGTCATGTACACTCCAGGTCAGGTGTAAGAGTGAGTACATCAACACACTTAGTCCCCCTACTGTCAGTCCTTTACACTCCAGGCTGGTGTAAGAGTGTGTACATCAACACATTTAGTCCCCCTACTATCAGTCTTGTACAATTTAGGCCAGGTGTAAGAGTGAGTACATCAACACACTTAGTCCCCCTACTGTCAGTCCTATACGCTCCAGGCCAGGTGTAAGAGTGAGTACATCAACATACTTAGTCCCCCTACTATCAGTCATGTACATTCCAGGTCAGGTGTAAGAGTGAGTACATCAACACACTTGGTCCCCCTACTGTCACTCCTTTACACTCCAGGCTGGTGTAAGAGTGCGTACATCAACACATTTAGTCCCCCTACTATCAGTCTTGTACAATTCTACATCAACACACTAAATCCACCTACTATTAGTCCTTTACACTCCAGGCCAGGTGTAAGAATGAGTACATCAACACACTAAGTCCCACTACTATCAGACCTGTACATTCTACACTCCGGGCCAGGTGTAAGAGTGACTACATCAACACACTTAATCCACCTACTATCAGTCTTTTACACTCCAGGCCAGGTGTAAGAATGAGTACATCAACACATTTAGTACCCCTACTGTCAGTCCTATACACTCCAGGCCAGGTGTAAGAGTGAGTACATCAACACACTTAGTCCCCCTACTGTCAGACTATCAGTGTTGTACACTCCAGGCCAGGGGTAAGAATGAGTACATCAACACAAGAAGTCCAACTACTATCAGACCTGTACATTCCGGAATAGGTGTAATAGTAAGTACATCAACACAATTAGTCCCCTCTACTATCAGTCTTGTACACGCCAGGACTGGCGTAAGAGTGAGTACATCAACACACTTAGTCCCCTTACTGAAAGTCATGTACACTCCAGACCAGGTGTAAGAGTGAGTACATCAACACACTTAGTCCCCCTACTATCAGTCTTGTACACGCCAGGACTGGCGTAAGAGTGAGTACATCAACACACTTATTCACCCTACTATCAGTCCTGTACACGACAGGCTGGGGTAAGAGTGTGTACATCAACACACTTAGTCCCCTTACTGTCAGTCATATACACTCCAGGCCAGGTGTAAGAGTGAACGTACATCAACACTCTAAAGTCCCCCACTATCAGCCCTATACACTCCAGGCTGGGGTAAGAGTGAGTACATCAACTCACTAAGTTCCCCTACTATCCGACCTGTACACACCAGGCCAGGTGTAAGAATGAGTACATAAACACACTAGTCCCCCTACTATCAGGCCTGTACATTCCGGAATAGGGGTAATAGTAAGTACATCAACACAATTAGTCCCCCCTACTATCAGTCTTGTACACGCCAGGACTGGTGTAAGAGAGAGTACATCAACACAATTAGTCCCCTCTACTATCAGTCTTGTACACGCCAGGACTGGTGTAAGAGTGAGTACATCAACACAATTAGCCCCCCCTACTATCAGTGTTGTACACTCCAGGCCAGGTGTAAGAGTGAATACATCAACACAATTATTCCCCCTACTATCAGTCCTGTACACGCCAGGCTGGTGTAAGAGTGTGTACATCAACACACTAAGACCCCTACTATCAGTCATGTACACTCCAGGTCAGGTGTAAAGGTGAGTACATCAACATATTTAGTCTCCCTACTAGCAGTCCTGTACACGCCAGGCTGGTGTAAGAGTGAGTACATCAACACACTCAGTCCCCTACTATCAGTCATGTACACTCCAGGCCAGGTGTAAAGGTGAGTACATCAATATACTTAGTCCCCCTACTATCAGTCATGTACACTCCAGGTCAGGTGTAAGAGTGAAAATACATCAACACTCCAAGTTCCCCCACTGTCAGCCCTTTACACTCCAGGCTGGTGTAAGAGTGAGTACATCAACACACTCAGTCCCCTACTGTCAGTCATGTACACTCCAGGCCAGGTGTAAAGGTGAGTACATCAACATATTTAGTCTCCCTACTAGCAGTCCTGTACACGCCAGGCTGGGGTAAGAGCGAGGACATCAACACACTCAGGCCCCTACTATCAGTCATGTACACTCCAGGTCAGGTGTAAGAGTGAGTACATCAACACACTTAGTCCCCCTACTGTCAGTCCTAAACACTCCAGGCCTGGTGTAAGAGTGAGTACATCAACATACTTAGTCACCCTACTATCAGTCCTGTACACTCCAGGCCAGGTGTAAGAGTGAGTACATCAACACACTTAGTCCCCCTACTATCAGTCTTGTACACTCCAGGCCAGGTGTAAGAGTGAATACATCAACACACTTAGTCCCCCTACTATCAGTCTTGTACACTCGATGCCAGGTGTAAGAGTGAGTACATCAACTCACTAAGTTCCCTACTATCCGACCTGTACACTCCAGGCCAGGTGTAAACGGGAGTACATCAACATACTTAGTCCCCCTCCTGTCAGTCCTATACACTCCAGGCCAGGTGTAAGAGTGAATACATCAACACACTTAGTCCCCCTACTATCAGTCTTGTACACTCGATGCCAGGTGTAAGAGTGAGTACATCAACACACTAAGTCCCCTACTGTCCGCCCTATACAGTCCACGCCAGGTGTAAGAGTGAGTACATCATCACACTTAGTCCCCCTACTGTCAGTCCTAAACACTCCAGGCCAGGTGGAAGAGTGAGTACATCAACACACTAAGTCCCCTACTGTCCGCCCTATACAGTCCACGCCAGGTGTAAGAGTGAGTACATCATCACACTTAGTCCCCCTACTGTCAGTCCTATACACTCCAGGCTGGGGGAAGAGTGTGTACATCAACACGCTTAGTCCCCCCTACTATCAGTAATGGACACTCCAGGCCAGATGGAAGAGTGAGGACATCAACACACCTAGTCCCCCTACTGTCAGTCCTATCCACTCCAGGCCAGGTGTAAGAGTGAGTACATCAACACACTAAGTCCCCTACTGTCCGCCCTATACAGTCCACGCCAGGTGTAAGAGTGAGTACATCAACACACTTAGTTCCCCCACTATCATCCCTATACACTCCAGGCTGGTGTAAGAGTGTGTACATCAACACGCTTAGTCCCCCTACTATCAGTAATGTACACTCCAGGCCAGATGGAAGAGTGAGTACACCAACACACCTAGTCCCCCTACTGTCAGTCCTATACCCTCCAGGCCAGGTGGAAGAGTGAGTACATCAACACCCTTAGTACCCCTACTGTCAGCCATATACACTCCAGGCTGGTGTAAGAGTGTGTACATCAACACCCTTAGTCCCCCCTACTATCAGTAATGTACACTCCAGGCCAGATGGAAGAGTGAGTACATCAACACCCCTAGTCCCCCTACTGTCAGTCCTATACACTCCAGGCCAGGTGGAAGAGTGAGTACATCAACACACTTAGTCCCCTACTGTCAGTCCTGTACACTCCAGGCCAGGTGGAAGAGTGAGTACATCAACATACTTAGTCCCCCTACTGTCAGTCCTATACACTCCAGGCCAGGGGGAAGAGTGAGTACATCAACATACTTAGTCCCCCTACTGTCAGTCCTATACACTCCAGGCCGGGTGTAAGAGTGAGTACATCAACACACTAAGTCCCCTACTGTCAGCCCTATACAGTCCACGCCAGGTGTAAGAGTGAGTACATCATCACACTTAGTCCCCCTACTGTCAGTCCTATACACTCCAGGCTGGTGTAAGAGTGTGTACATCAACACACTTATTCCCCCTACTATCAGTAATGTACACTCCAGGCCAGATGGAAGAGTGAGTACATCAACACACCTAGTCCCCCTACTGTCAGTCCTATACACTCCAGGCCTATACACTCCAGGCCAGGTGTAAGAGTGAGTACATCAACACACCTAATCCCCCTACTGTCAGTCCTATACACTCCAGGCCAAGTGTAAGAGTGAGTACATCAACACTCTAAGTTCCCCAAATATCAGCCCTATACACTCCGGGCTGGTGTAAGAGTGAGTACAACAACACTTTAAGTTCCCCCACTATCAGCCCTATACACTCCGGGCTGGTGTAAGAGTGAGTACATCAACACAATTAGTCCCCCCTACTATCAGTCTTGTACACTCCGGGCCAGGTGTAAGAGTGAGCACATCAACACACTTAGTCCCCCTACTATCAGTCTTGTACACTCCAGGCCAGGTGTAAGAGTGAGTACATCAACATGCTTAGTCCCCCTACTGTCAGTCCTTTACACTCCAGGCCAGGTGTAAGAGTGAGTGCATCAACACACTTAATCCCCCTACTGTCAATCCTGTACACTCCAGGCCAGGTGTAAGAGTGAGTACATCAACACACTTATTCCCCCTACTATTTTACCGGTAAACTTAAGGCCAGGTGTAAGAGTGAGTACATCAACACACTTAGTCCCCCTACTGTCAGCCCTATACACTCCAGGCCAGGTGTAAGAGTGAGTACATACACATACTTAGTCCCCCTACTGTCAGTCCTATACACTCCGGGCTGGTGTAAGAGTGAGTACATCAACACACTTATTCCCCCTACTATTTTACCTGTACACTTAAGGCCAGGTGTAAAAGTGAGTACATTAACACACTAAGTCCCTCTACTGTCAGCCATATACACTCCAGGCCAGGTGTAAGAGTGAGTACATCAGCATACTTAGTCCCCCTACTATCAATCCTGTACACTCAAGGCTAGGTGTAAAAGTGAGTACATTAACACACTAAGTCCCTCTACTGTCACCCATATACACTCCATGCCAGGTGTAAGAGTGAGTACATTAACATACTTATTCCCCCTACTATCAATCCTGCACCCCGAGGCCAGATTAAAGAGTGAGTAGAGCAACCTAATTTGTCTTTAAATGTTACGTTCCCTCCAGTTGAGATTTAAGGTTGAGGCAGTCACCTCTTTTTCTCCTACTGTACAATGAACCGTCATATTCATGTGTACGAGTACACTACTTAATCAAGTTTATACAATGATAGATGATGTGGTATATGTTTTCTGTCATTTTCAGAGTTTGAGTGTGGATGTCAAAATGGTGGCCATTGCCACAGGGTCACTGGAGAGTGTGTCTGTACCACTGGGTACTATGGTGACAAGTGTGAAAACTTTGATTACTGCGGTTACTATGAAAAACACAACAATGTAACTGCGTGTGGGGCCGGAGGTAAGCTGGTGGTTTATATTATTTAAAATGTGCTAAAGATGAGTGAGAGTAATATTTACTTGAAATTATTCATAAATGTCATTGGGTGCTTTGTTCCAGTGGTGGAGAGCGAATGATTATGTCACTCCCTACAAATATAGTAATCCGGCTATTATACCGGTATAATGATTCAAAATATAATCAAATTAATAGTTCTTATTCACGATATCATATTCGGATATTTTCAGAATCTCGTCAAAGCAGATGGAAGTGGTATTTAAGTCAAGATTGCACTCTAAAATCCTGATATAAAGACTAATTAGAGAACATCAGTTATGTAAATCTTGGTGAAATCCAAAACAAACGATGCTTCTTTCTCAAAATCGGAACCGAAGTAATAGCAAGGAATCAAAGCACACCTACGAACATATCGAAAACATCACCTTCATATCACATTAGAAAATAGCATATTTGCAAATGATGTCATGATGGCGACGATAAACTTTTACTCAATCTTCGTCACTTTACAATATCTCGATGAGCTGTGCTGTAAATTTGTCTATCAACAGTTGACATATATCACGGAAGTCATGCTTATTAGAGCAATCTTGTAAATACCGTATCAACCGCAACGTGTAGATATCGTAGCTTTGGGAGGCTGGGATGTAACTACAATTTTATTTTCATGTCGACATGATAGCCAATCGGTTACATCCATTATTGCATGAAGCCTAACGCAAATCGGTTACATCCGTATTAAACAGGAAGCCCTAGCGGCCTTTATGCTATATGGATGTAACCGATTTGCGTTCATTTAGACATGGAAATTAAAACAAAAAAAAACATTCAATCTCTATATACTAAAGTAAATTGTGTCATACAAAATTGTACTTTATTTAGTTTTAACGTCAAATCATACTTAGCCTTTTTTATCATGCAGTTTTACTTTTATTCAGTTAGTTTTGTTTGAAAACGATATACATGTAAGAATCATGCAAATCATGGAAAGTAATTAGTGAGAGTGTCAGATCAAGATGGAGGCTGATACACTTAATAAAAATTGTAACATATGATATATATTTTACAATTTTTTTATTTTTTTTTTTACATACTTCTCCTAATAAATCTATAAAGAAACATCGCACAATAACTACATTTCTTAAGGGGAATACTGCATAAACGAATTTGATGATAACATGGACTTTTATAGGGATATGCAGCGCGGTTCCACAGGATGAAATCAAGGCTTACGGAGGGGACAATGCTGGAGACACCTGCATATTCCCTTTTCAATATGGCATCAATTCTTATGGATCATGTGTTGAAACAAACGCAGTGAGTCATTAAACAAGTTTATTTTAAAGTGACGATTTATAGTCTAGTCAGAACACTTTGAATTAGATTGCCTGACAAGATTCTGAATTGATAACAATACTGGTTCCCCTTTACATAGCTCTGTATGATCTATTGATTACAACAAAACTTAGGTTTGCAGTGAAAACAAATTGAAAATGGAAATATCGTTCATTTTGGATTTTGAATTTTTTTTCGGAGTGAAAGCAACATCGGTTATATCAGCTAAAATGTCGATACTTAGCTTCAATCTAAAACCAATATAATCAACATTAGAACGTTTTAAAGCCGAATTCCCAGGTCTTTGTCTTTTCAATCCACTTTTTCTTTGCAATCATTTAGCAAACCTGTAATGTTCTTTACTTGTTTTAGGTAGCTATACTTTTACATTTCTCACCCAGTATTACACAGGAGTTTTCTTTGGAGTTGAAACCAGATATGATTTATATTTGCTATCCTGGAGGAAAGACAAAAACATGTTCTCTAATATAGATTTAGATACTTCTTGTTTTATAATATAAAGATAAATAATTTTGAAAAACGAAAACAAGATCTGTTGCATTTAGTTAATTGTGAAATGCACAAAAGGGTCGACTAAATCATCTGCTAGTAGAGTAATAATTGCTGAATTTGCATAAACGAATAACTCTTTTGAAGACTTTGTAAATCGTTTAAATATGTCGACGTTAGCAATCGATGAGGCAATATATGTATTGCTATTTTCCTTTGTTTCCAGGTTGGCCCTCCATTTGCATGTGGGACCAAGTTTGACGGTCAAAGAGATGGGTATATAGACTTAGGAATGTGGGGCCCCGGGGCCCAGTACACCATTGCTGCATGGGTGAGGCCAGACGTGGCTGACGGGACAAGGCGTGTAAGTAACATTATGTCAGGTTATTTGCATACCTGATTCGAAGAGAAGAAAGATTTTTGGTCAATATGAGTAAAACAATCTTAAATATAATAACCGTCTCTTTCAAATTTGATTTTTGTTTTATTGATTTTTATTTTTAATTAAATCAGATTTGCTCCTTTATTCTATTTTCTTTAGGAATTGTGACCTCTCATTTTTTATTCTATTGCATTATATGTAACGTGACTGTAGCCTAACATACGAATGTTAAAAGGATTTTTGACCTGGTCAAAAAAAAATGACGTCATTACCTCTGTTTCAGACTATTGTTGGTGGGGTTGGAGGTTGTAGAGACTTCGGATTGTATCAGTTTGAGAATTTCTGGGCGTACTATCGAGGACAGGGATCGCAAAGCCACTGTACACGAGGCTTGTCGGCTGTGGACCATATACAAACGGGCCAGTGGTATCTTATAGCTTCCATCAAAAATGCAACCCATGTCACAATTTATGTCAATGGAAAGCTGAAATCTATACGGGTCAGTTTGCTAACTCAATGCCTCAACGAAGTTTTGCTTATATTTTTGTTTCATAAAGGGATGCTTTAATTAAACGCTGTAAAGCTGGATTATATTTGTACACCGTTTAACATTTCCTATTATTATATGCATGAACATTTCTCGCAATCACATTGGTCGGATCCTATACACGTGACCAGTCCTCAAAAAGTCATGTAGACTGGTTATCCGGTGAATATCGATTTCTAAATATAGCCTGTATGGAAATTCCCCGGAACCTGTCGAAGCGCATGCGCAGTTAGACTAGAACGCGATCTGTCAGACGACATAAGAAGATGGCTGCTGGCGAACGTTTATCCTCCGTTACATCAGAAAATTACCAAAACTATTCGAGGATAAAGATGCTGTTAACGTAAAAAAGGCCATTGAACACGCAGTGCATGTCCTCCATGCTTATCTTAAGAAAAAGAATCTAGACGATACCTTCAAAACTTACAGTGATGAACTGTTGTATTTAAACCTGGCTAAATTTTACACGAAGGCTCGCGTACAAAAATCAGAACCTTTAGTTTTGTTTTGTTGAAGCATATAATAGGTTTTATCAAAATATCCTTACTATCTCTCCTAATAGATTATAATATACAGTTATGGGCTTTTGTGCTGGTAAATATGATGTGATTTGAACCTGAAAGAGTGATATTCACCTCGGCTTCGCCTCAGTCACTATCACTCTTTCAGGTTCATATCACATCATATTCACCAGCACAAAAGTCCATAATTGTATATTATAATCTATTAGGAGAGATAGTAAGGATATTTTGATAAAACCTATCACCAACGTTTCTGTTTTATATGTGTATCAAACCCTGATTATGTATGCCATATAAATGAAACATTCGGAATATTTTCGTTTTATGATGTACATGTTCAACTATTAATGTAAATCTTATCCTACGATTGGGCGTAAATTATTATGTGTACCTATCTGAATTTCGCAGGCCAGTCCCAATTCCCTACCTACAACTGGAGGATTGTGGATAGGTGGCGAGGAGTGTTGTGAACAAGGCAGATTCAAGGGCCTGATCAAGGTAACAATGGGATACTACAGTAGGTCGACTCAGCAACACTAGATAGATGTTAGACCTTCCAGACAAATTTACCACATGTTTACTGTTTTTCACTAGCGCTTTCCTACCTAAATTAGAAATGCCATTCGGCAATCACTGTCAGCTGCGGTAACCATCTTGGACATTTACATCATTGGCAATAGACCTACGGAATCTAGTATTGAAAGACTTCCGATATAATAAACTGGAATAAGGTCGATAAACAAAATATTTTATATCTTCACTTGTCTACCCCATGTATTGACGTTTGACACTCTGTTTTATTCAGTATAATGCTGGTCTGCACGTTTGTAAACAAGAACAGATCCCTTCACTTTAATTCATAACCAATTTCAAGGTGAACGAAACCACGACCGCTGACGACAGATAATAGATAACATGAGCAAGAGATACAGAAACAGACTAACATCCATAATATTTTACATAAATGTGTATATTAACGTGTATTCCTATGTCAAAAGAATTCAATAGTGTATCATATGTGTTTGTGATGAAATAGTGACGATATACAGTTTTGTAAATTGCCATTATCTCAAATCGCTGAATTGCAAGTTCTAACAGAAACTCGAAACTATGACTATGAAGTTGATGATATACGTTATTAAGAATCGATTGGGCAATGTCTTGTACACATTTTTTTACGAAAGATGTACAAGACACGTAAAGTGATTCGACTATCCATTTATTTCCATAATATTTGAATTTACTGAAATATGGCTTTATTGTACATTTTCCTAACAATAATGTTATCTTGTTGTATTGCAGACAGTCAAAATTTGGAAGAGGGCACTGGACCCAGTTCATCTGAAACGGAGCATGGAAACATTTGGTACAGCTAACACGACTGTAAGTAAGACAATATTTTTACTGTAAAATAACAATCTTTGCAGTTCGATTCGCGGCAAAAGAAGTACAAACGGGTATTGATAAGGCGGTACCTTATGTTGCGTTATATAGATGCCGGTTAATGTGATTACCAAAGGAAATATTCTACAAAATAAATATCGCAAAATGATGAAGGAAGCTATTCTTGTACGAAAGGAAGCTATTCTTGTACAAACAATTTAACTTTCTGTACAATGGGAGGCAATGTTTGTGTTTGTCGAAATATACTGGCGCCCGTCTATATTGAATTGTTCAGATGAGAATAAACTGCAAATTAGAGGGAGATAAGCTAATAGAAAAATCGTGCTCGAAACTTCTTTACAAAAAACTAGGTGGCTGGTAGTCAGTTTAGTCGAAAAAGAATGTTATGTTTGGTCAGGAAGACTTGTATGTTCACATACAAGTATGTCTTATCTCATCCTCGATATTCTAGGGGTTACGATCTCTTATACATGTAGCTAATCAAAACAGGGAACATACCTGGTTCTGTTTAATAATCATTTGAATAAGCATACAACTGCCACTTAAATATTACTCAATAATAAATAAAGAAATATAGCGCTAATAAATAGAAAACAAATTCTTGTACAGTTGTATGTAGCCTTGAACTTCTAAGGTTTATGTAATCTATCTAATTGTCTATTGGTCATTCCTTAAATAGATGCAATACCCTTTGTACTTGCAAGTCACTTATTGGCAATACAACCTGCTTGACATTACCTTAAAAGTCTCGAGTACAAAATGAGTGGTAGTGGAAAATAGAAAGTTGTATAAACATGAACATCAAAATGTACTTTGTTATCTTAATAGACTGAAGCTCTGAAAGATGGCCTGGTCGGACATTGGGAGTTGGGAGAGGTGATTCAGCCACCGTGTATGGGTGTAGATCATGGCGGAGAGGACTGGATCCTTGATCGATCTAGTATCATGCTAATCTCAGGTGTGTGTTTGGATCATTTCCAATAAGTTTAGATTATTTGAGGGTATGTTCGGAACATCTCGGCTATGTTGCAACCTTAGCAGATAAGCTATGATGATCTCAGATGTGTTTGGATTATCATTTATATGCTTGGATGGTCATCTCATATAAGTTATCGGAAGCTGCCCTAATTTGGCCTTAAGGAAATATGAAACTGAGATAAATTATAACAAAAAGCTCAGGATTTCAATAAAACAATTGTATCAGATTATACAAACTGAATGCATTACTTGGACATCTTTAGACATGTGTATTTGAAGAAGTCAATAACCTTACCCAAAATGTTAATAAAAGAAAGACGAAGAAAACGAACTTAAGAATATGACCTGTCTCATTATATTTATAATAACATAGATTTAAATAGACTATATTATATATATTAATATCTGATTGCAGGTAGCCATTGTAACATCAGTCAGTTCACAGTACCAAAAAACATAAATGCATACGTCAAACCCTGGGATGGCACAACAGGAGGAACACTAAAGATTCAAGCCAAGGTTAGCTACAACCTATACAAGTATAAGTTAACACCCCAAAGCTGATCATAACAGAACACCTGATGTGTTATTCATTTTGGTATACTGTATCTATTTCCAAAGGGCCTGTTTCCTATGGTGGCTGATATATGACATTTCGTCTTTTCGCTTTGTCGCCCGCGAAATAACGCCAAGCGAAATAACGAAATAACGAAAAGACGCCAAAGCGCCAAAGCGAAAAGACGAAATAACGCCAAAGCGCCAAAGCTAAATAACGAAATAACGCCAAAGCGCCAAAGCGAAATAACGAAATAACGCCAAACCGAAGTGAAAATAACGCCAAAGCGAAGAGATAAAATGGCGTCTTTTCTCCCTCCTTTTGGCGTTATTTCGTTATTTAGCTTTGGCGCTTTGGCGTCTTTTCGTCTTTTCGCTTTGGCGCTTTGGCGTTATTTCGTCTTTTCGCTTTGGCGCTTTGGCGTTATTTCGTCTTTTCGCTTTGTTGCCTTCCGGTTCTGGATATTAAAGAAACGCTATCTCCGTGATTATGATTCCCCAATGACTCCGCTAGTGAAATGGAAATTAAAATGCACAAATGTGACTTATGTTTCAGCATTTTAGGAATTTTACAACAACAATGCTTAATATGTTTATCATTGTTAAATTAAAGAAAACAAATAA